TGGGAGCCCATGATGTAATGATCTAGTCTTCCACCAGACATGCCACAAAAATGCAGTAGATCCCTTGCCCTTTTGCACAGCGGGATACTGTCGGTATAGTTGCCAAGACTATACCAGCACATTGCTTCCATGTGCAATGCCCAAGCTTCCTTGTATGAATTGCCTGAGATCTTTGCTAGCCTCTGAGACTCATATGCATGCTCCTGGCCTCCTGAATAATCACCAGTTGTCCATTTCAACAATGCCAAGGTGGATAAGATGTCAGACTGCCGTCTGATGTTCCCAGTGGAAATTGCCAACGATAGTCCCGTTAGGGCAAGGTTGATAGCTCTTGGAATATCAGGGGTCTTATGATCACAAAAATATATGGCTAGCACATCATAATATCTGCCTGGGTGAGATGTATTAGTAACCAAGTCAAACTGATAATTGACATGACCAACATTTGAGATCTGGATCATCAAAGTATGGAAAAGATTCAAGAGCTTCATCCATGATATGTTGGGCCCGGGGAATGGGACGATATGTGGTTACTAGGAGACGTATGATGAAGTACACCTCCAATCTATGGTTTCTAGGATGAGGCAGAAGATCGGGAATCAGCTCTATTACTGGACTGTAACCACGTCCAGCCAGACAACTGAAGTGGTCAAAGTGACATATGCTGTAGATTGTATTGAGGAAATCAGGGTTATCTTGGTTTAAACTGCTTAGTAGAATATTGTGGATGTTGGCAAAGTTGGATGTTATTCGAGCCACCGTCCCTGGATTTGAAACAGTTCCATGATATGTCTCATAGACCTCAAGAAGTTCCTGCAAGTATCGACGAAGAGGTTGAACAATACGAGCCGTAGGGGGGTGTGTTTTCTGTATATATTCTCTGATAGGAACCAATACTTTCAGTCGTTTTTGGCCATCAGTATATGCCAAAGAGGTGGCAAGTAACACGGTTTTGCAGGCCAAGATATTGTCAATTGGTGGCTTGCTTTGTACCAGGTCTGTATCGGAAAGCCCATCGGGGAGAATGGAAAGTAAGCTCAACAACTCTCGGGACTCTGGCATAGACAGCATGCGAGAGCTTTCTAGAGACAGCAAAATTGATAAGTCCAAGTTTGAGCCTCTATCATGGCCTTTGGAGAGCAGTGAGGTCCTCTCTTTCTCCCATCTGTCCAGCACACTGGCATACCCTTCACAATCCACCAAGTGTGCAATGAGGTCAATTGCCAGGGGCATGTTATCAACTAAGAGCAGAATTCTGTCAATCTCCCCAAGAGTATGGCCATTGTCTGCAATATCAATAAAGGTCTGGCGAGCAGCATCCAGTGCCAGGGGCTTCAATGGCTCCAAAAAGGGGTGAGTCCAGCGGATATTAGCAGGCCTTTCAGCTCCACGCATGGTGATCTCAACGTTAAATACTATCAGTATCTGAATAGCAGTGGTTAGTTTCTGCTTACAATCAGGGCCAGATGATCAACATCAGCAAGCAAGGCCAAGAAGCTCTCAAGTTCTACACGAGACTCTCTTGGTTCCCAAATTGTCTCCAGATTATCCAAAATCAGAAGTGATGGGGGGCTGCGGGCGAAATGATGGGCAACAGGTTGTGTGAGATTAGTTCCCTGGGTTAGGCCAACATGGGCTCCGATCAGGCCAGCAAGTTGAATGACATTTGATGTAGTGTCACAAGCAACAAAAACCCGATGCTGGTCGTATCTGGCACTGACTTCAGCGTGATGGAGAATGGCTCTGGCCAAGCTTGTCTTCCCGATCCCTCCTGGTCCCAAAATTGCAATTCTGGGTGTTGTGTTGCCAAAGCTCTCGATGATAGCCGAAAGTTCAGATTGACGACCATGGAAAATCTTTGGTTCTGATGGTAGTAATGAAAGCGAGTTTGAGCTGGATGACATTTGAGACAAGTCCACTAATGACTCATACCTGTTTTGGGAGCTACAAAGGACTCTGCTGATCTGTTGAAAAGAATGAATATTATTAACATTGAAATACGTAGAATCGGAACATACAGTGGATTCTGTATCAGATGGTTCTCTATTTGAAAAAGCCGAGATCATCTCCAGGACTTCCTCGTGTGCCTTTCGTCCATGCTCTTGCAATTCTGTAATATCCCTTAGAGGGGTAACACCCTGAATCTGAGGTATTTCCATTGAAATTGAGACCTAACAGCAACAGTGAACTTACCTTGAATGACTCAAGTGCTTGCTCCAGCCCCATGTGACAAGCCTTTAGCAATGCCTTCATTTCACCTTGACGAAAAAACTGCCTTAGTTTGCGTTTCTCCTGTTGAGCTTCAACATATGTGTGTATCTTGTGGACGGTCCTACAGAAGTGCATGTCAAGAATGTGAGGATGGGGGAGGAAAAAACTTACTCAGTGAATTTCCCCAAATGGTGCATTGTGTCTGGTGGTAATTCGTCACCTGTGTCAGATTGGATATGAACACGGATGATAGCATGGAGGAGCTCATGAATTTTTTCAAGCATCTGGCTGCAATCATCCTCGTTCCTTTTCACGGTCTATCCAAAGTCTGTAAGAGCCGTAGAAGATAGATTATGCACACATTTACCTGGACAGCAGTCAACAGTGAGTGCATGGTGTTTGAAGTTGGTTCCAAAGATGTCTTGAAGCTTGCAGAAACCATGTCCAAAGCGGCGACTGCACTGCTTAAGGATGAAACAATACTGTGGAAGCGAATTTGTGCAGCGGTGGGCTGAAGGGGCATGATTGTGGTGATGACACTGACCACTGTGAGGAGCCATTCCTTATACCAGGTTCCATGAGAAATTTCATAGCCAGCGTCTTTGTTCATCACCCGTCATCACTCCAAGATCGCGCAGCACAGTGCGGCTTGACGATGTCTATGCACACTCCAGTCCCACCGAAGGTATCAAAGGCAGTTGTGCGGCTGATTTCTGATATTATCAGAAATCAACCGCACACTGGGCTCGTCCGGATGAGACGTTTCGCCTATGCACTTATTTTGAAGCATGGAGGGATGTCCATTGAGCTCAACTGTATGAGGCGAGGTGCTCTTAACATCAGCGTGATGCATCTGGTTGAAGTACACAGCCGCACAAGCGATCTTACTGGAAGATGATCAAGCGCCAAGGAATCAATCTATTCAATCTATTCCTCTACAGGCATCGTGAGATCCTAATTAAGGGACACTCGAGACATATTCTTCACCCATTCATTCAGCGGGAGCCTATACTGTAGCTGTGTTGAAATGGAGGCGATGGAAATCATGATCTTCTGGATTATTCGGCACATGCACAGGCTGGGCATCAACTTATCCTTCGTTGACCCCTCCCCGGCCGCCACTTTTACCCAAGGCATGCTGATCCCATTCCACACCGTGGAATCATTTATTTAAAGAGTAGTTGGTTACACTCTGCACCGGTCACGAAAGTGCAGCTGAAATGCAAAGGTCCTGGGTACATGTGTGGATGCCAGAATAACTATTGCAGTGTCGGCAAGGCTTTCAAGTTTCCAGATTGTTCAAGTGTTCAATGGGATCCTGAAGCAAATCCTCTCCGCCATACCCTCGGGAGCTGAGATACAAGTGAACTGGGGCCATGTGGATAAATATCTCCATTGGGCAGAAATAGCATAGGCTCACAATGTTGACTAGTGCCAGCCGGCACAGATCCACCACAGGGGGAGATTCGCTCTCAATTTTCTCACTCAATTTTCTCAATACAGAATCACTGGTTGAAATTGTGTTCCTCATCCAGCCCCAGTCTTTTTCCCAGGCACGGGCGGACCACGCTGCTTGTACGCATTGCGCGAGATGCAGCACTGCCAGCAGATACATATCGAACTCCACATTTTACAAAGACTTCGCTTCGCCTCGGAGACTCGAAACACATTTATTGAACGTCTAAAACCAACTGAAGATGAAGTCATCTTATTCATTGCAAGTTTCGCCCTGGATCTACCTGAATTGATTGTCGACTTGCGTTTGGATCGGTGGGAGAGCGAGTTCCCAGGTCCGCATGCGGCGTGGGCGGACTACGTCGACCGCTGCTGAGTAAGCAACGGAGGGGAAGAGCCGGATTCGATGCGCATCAGGGACAACTCCGGACCCAAAAAGCAGTTGAAAGCTAACAATCAGTCGGACACGGGGAGTCGAACCCCGATCTGCCTGGGGCATCTGGTCTGAATCGAAATCCGAAAGACAGGAGGCGGTGTTCCGTACACCATATCCGAGTCCTTGATGTCCCTGCGAAGGTGGTAAGCTGAGGAATTCCCGCGACCCATGATAAAGGAAGCTCAAGAAGACCCGTCATTCGGACACGGGGAGTCGAACCCAGAGCTGCCTCGCACAACTTATCGCCTGGAGGGGAAAGAGAGGAGGCGGTGTAACGTATACCACGTCCGATGATTTATGGACCGGTGAACTTGGTTAGGTGGGCATCTTTCGCAGTGGATTCAAAAAAAAAAAGGAAAGTCTGCATGCCAACTATTCGGACACGGGGGTCGAACCCCGATCTGCCTCGCGCAACTTATGAACTGGAGAAGGATTCCACGATAGGAGAAGAGGCGGTGTACCGTACACCACGTCCGATGATTTATCGACCTGCGGAGGTGGATAGATGAGCAATATTTTCCTGCGGTGAATAAAAAGCAGGAAAGAGCCAAGTAGTCGGACACGGGGAGTCGAACCCCGGGCTGCCTCGCCGAACATCCAAGCCCGTCTAGGAGAGGAGGCGGTGTACCGTACACCATGCCCGATGATTTATCCACCTGCGGAGGTGGATAGATGAGCAATATTATTTCTCTGCGGTGTATAAAAACTGGAGACGCAGCTGGAATTCGGACACGGGGAGTCGAACCCCGATCTGCCTCGTTTAACTCCTACAATTGACACACCTGACGACCGAGGCCGTTCACCGTACACCATGCCCGATGATTTCTGTCCCTGTAAAGGTGGTTAGGTGGGCATCTTTCGCAGTGGGCTCAAAAGAAAAAGCAAGCCGGACCAACTATTCGGACGCGGGGAGTCGAACCCCGGGCTGCCTCGTCAAACCTCAAAAGCGCCCCAGGAGAAGAGGCGGTGTACCGTACACCACGTCCGATGATTTATCTACCTGCGGAGGTGGTTAGGTGGGCGTCTTCCACGGCCCACGGCACGCATCAAAAAAAGACAGTACCAGGAAATATCACGCCGTTCCAAAAAGAAAAAAAAAGTCAGACCTTGATGGGGCGGCGATGCGCGATGAGACGGAGGGAGAGTACTAGGCTTGCGGACGAAAATGGAGGGCTTTGACGAGGACGAATGATTCAGCCCGGTGAGGCTCCTGAAGCAGCCTTGCGGACGGCATTTTGATTGCATGCTATCTTCGGATAAGATAATAAGGCAATGAGCGTCGGACCAAGATAAGTACATAGTAGTTTCAGAGCGTGGAGCGTGGATGGCTCGTAAGACGGCTTGCACAAGGTGAACGCAGGAGGTTGGTATTGGCAAGAGGCAAGAAGGCCGAAGCAATCCCGTCGGACCGAAGCCCGAAGGCTGTGCTAAGCCGTAACCTTCATGTTGTCCTCAACGTTATCTTCTCCCAAATCCTGAAGCCAGCTGAATGCATCTCTCAACGCCGAATACACGCGAATCTATGAAACCCCTTGGACTAGACCGCTATCCTCTTCGCAATGCAGCGCCCTTTGTCTTTTCAAAATCGCGAGGACTCTTGAAGCCCGTCGCACGACGTCCGCGTCCACCCTCGCTGGGTCCGCGCGCCGCTATACCCCCTTCCCACTTGCCTCACTCGCTGCCGTATGCGCAAGAGACGTGAGCACCCTCCGCTGCCTTATCTACTCCGCCGTGCCCTTCCTCCTCTGCTGCATCACCCGCGAACGCACGCACCACGCTGTATACGAGCGTGACGACACTGGTGGCGTGAAGACACTGCGGACGCAACGGGACAAGACAAGGCAGTCGAGGGGAGCACGCAAGCCCGCGCTGCCATCGACGTACGCAAGATAGACGGGCGGGCATGCGTGCCGCGGCACTGCACGTCCGTACCCTCCCGCTCCGCTGATTCAGATGCCAGGTTACACCTGTGGTGCTTACTCACTCTCATCCTGCGCGCCTTCGGCTGATCTAACCAATATTCATCGTATATGATCACTCCAGTAGGACTAAATCCAAGCATCGCGCCACCATTTCTCTGGCCTTCAGGAACGGACACACAGACGCGGAGGACGACAGGGCATGCACCAACGAGCGTCACGGTATCCCCTCCGCACGCGTCTTCTGCTTCTGCTTCTCCTTTCACCCATCGCCTCACCCTCTCTTCGTCATGTCGATCGCACTCCCGAGGCACGCCCAATATCTCGTGCGCCGCGCACGAGCCTAGGCTCTGGCAGGACGCGCTGCAGGTGCCGCCATCCACTGCATTACGCGTCTGGCCGAGCTGCTTCACGGTCCCGCGCGGCGCGTGCATGTCCCGCATCCTGATGCGCGCATCGTACGGGGGAAGCGCCGGTGCAGATGGACGGGACGGGTGCGTACTGTATGCATGCCTCCTCCGCGCGTTTCGTAGCTGATTTGTGTGCTATTCCCAGGAGTATCCGTCTCCATCGCTCTACTGGTGAGCCCCAGCGCGCGCTTCGGACGAGGAGCCTCTCACGGACGGCACCTGGACGAGGAGGCAGTGGGGCCAACTCGAGGTGTATTCTATGTATCTACTCTGCACGGTGCGTACCCTCCACCACGGCGTGCGCTTCTGCTCAATCCTAATACCGTGATCGCTAGCGGCACCTCGCGTGGCGCGCGTCCGTCCTTGCGCGCCCAGGGCTTATGGCGCAGGCGATCATGCAGACGCAGGCGAAGAGGAAGAGACAAGACGAAGTGGAGAAGCGCCTGCAGAGGACGCGGGAGGGCGTATGCATAGGGTGCAGACATACCACGCTCACGGCGCAGGTGTGTATCCACCACCATCATGTGTCTCGAGTCGTTCCGCTGACTGATTTCGGGACTAGGCTACCAACGCGATCATCGTTCTTGTCCGCGGCTCGATTAGCGCGCATGGCGCAGTGCACCCTACCCCGCTGCCTGTGCTCGGAAAGACGCATTCGCGGGACACAGCGCAGGGGTGGGCGAGGAGGACACGCGGGACGAGCGTCGACGCGGTGCGTAGGCGCTAGGGAGACGTGGAGAGCACGAATACGACGCGCAGGAAGACGCGATAGGCATCGCGGAGGGTCTCGCGCGCGCACGGAGGAGAGGTGTCGACGGGACGCGTTGCAGCTGTAGGCACGTCAGCCATCTTCCTTCGCGCGACTTGGCGCTGATTTGGATGATAGGACAGCGTCCGCGGCTGCTGGCTCGCTGTGTACCCCCCGGGTCGAGGCGACGCGCGCGGTCCGAGAGCTTGGGCGGGACGCGATAAGCAGCGACGCGGATGTCGCGCGCGCAGCGCAAGGCCAGCGGGGAGGGCGCTGCACACTTAACGAGTCAAGAAAGACAGGGCGGGCCATGAAGACGCTGCGAGATGTGAGGCAGATGCACCCTCGCGGGGCGTTGATGGTGTCGTGGAACGCGGGTGGTGGAACGAAAGGAGTAGGAGGCGCTTGCGCGTGGAGCGCGGTGCGGGTAGAGGAGCGGCGTGGAGGACGCGGGCTGCACATCGTCATCCGCGTCTGCCAGAGCCCCACCCGAAGGAACCGCCGCCGAGGGAAGACGCCATGGGTGCGGCTATGCAAGGGTGTGTGTGGGCTGGGCGCACGAGACATGGAGGGAGGACGCGCGTATCGGGCGGGCTGTGCATTCTCGTCCGCTTCTTCGAGAGCCATGGCGGCGTGTCCTTAGTCCCCGAACGGCTGCGGTGCGGCTATGGAAGGGTGTGCGAGCGCTGGGCGCAGGAGGCGCACGAGGCACGGAGGGAGGACGCGCGTATCAGGCGGGTAGCGCATTCTCGTCCGCTTCTTCGAAAGCCGCGGCAGCCCTTCCTCGCTGACGTGTCATTGCTCCCCAGCGAGTTGCTGTAGTGGGCGGGACGCAGAGGACGCGCGTAGACGGGTAACGCATTCTCGTCCGCGTTTTCCAGAGCCACGGCGGTATTCCCTCGGCGGCGTCCTTGCTCGCCAGCGAGCGGCTGTGGCGGGCGGGACGCAGAGGATGCGCATATGGGGCGGGCAGTGTATCCTCGTCCGCGTCTTCCAGCGCCACTGCAGCCCGTTCCCTGGTGAGTCGCTGTGGTGGGCGCTGTAGGAGCGCGTAGTGGAGCAGCGGGTGGAGGAGAGACGTGACGCGGATGAGGAGCACGACGGGCCTGAGGGGTGGATAATTGGAGGGACGCGCGCGAGGATGGCGGAGCTCACGCTTGCGGCTGGGGATAGCGCCTCACGACGCGCGGTATCCTTCTTCGCGCGCGCGTCCTTCGTGCCCTTCGTCTATCGGTCGCAGGTGGCGAGCGGATGTGGCTGCGGCGGCACAGCTCGAGGAGCGGAGACGCCAAAGATGCGCGAAGCAGGCGGGCTGCGCGTCTTCGTCGGCGTCTTCGAGAGCCACGACAGTCCTCTCTCCTTCATACCCTTCATCTCGTGCGATGGGGAGAAGGTGTGGGTACGCTCGGCGCAGGCGGCGCGCGAGACGGAGGATGCACCTAGCAGGCGGGCAGCCCATCCTCGTGCGCATCTTCCACGGTCTCGGCGGCGTGTCCTCGCGCTCCCTAGCGAGCGACTCTGGTGCGGGCAGGTGCACGTGATAGAGCACCTAGTAGAGGGGGGACGCGCGGAGTGGAGGTGGGACACGCGCGCGGTGTGCAGGAGGAGCACGAACGACGGGGCCGCGGGCAGGGGGCGGGGCTTCATAACGGTGGAGGGACGCGATGTTGGAGGAACGCGCGCGGATGGCGCAGCCCGCAGCTTCACGAGGGCATGCACGCCATCACTCCCTCGCGTCGACGTCTGCGAGGAGATCGGTCCCCGCGGACGATGGTCTTCCTATGGGTACGCAGAGGTGTCATCGTGCGCGTGCGACGGAGAGAAGAGGAAGGGCGATACGCACGCCAATGCAGCGTCCCAGCCCCGCCGTCTTCGATTGCGCTGTCGCACATCGCGTGTGGCGGCCCTCCCTTCGCGTAGGCCGCCTTGCCGCGTGGGGGTGATGGGCCCCTGCGTCTCTAAGCGCGGATTTGTCCCCGTGTGCACCCAGGGACCCACGGAGCGGGGAGGGGCGTCACGAGCGAAGCTGCGCGTCAAGTCTCACAGGGAAGAGGGAAGGACGGGGCGCTGCAGCGGGCGCAGATGGCGTGCCGGCGGACGGGTCAGCAACACGCGCAGGGGACGCGGAGGTGCATGTGCGGCGGGACATCCCATCGCCACCGCTCGTTTAGAGAGGCGGGAACTTCCGCCCAGGAGGGGGGCGATGGCAGGAACGTGGGCGCCGCGCCCGCCGCGCATCGCTCGTCTGCGCGATGTCTTCGTTTATCGCCTCGCGCGACAGACGGAGACGCGCGAAATTTGGCCGCGTCGGGAGCCAGCGGAACACTCGTTGACGTGAGATGCCAGCTCGCCTGGAAATTTCCGCCAGTAGCCGTGCGGCCTAGTTCTTGAGGACCTACCAGTATATACCAGAGAATGCAATTTTCAAGTCCTCAGAAGTGTACGGTAACGCACATCTGAAATTTACCGCTTTTCGCTTTGTAAAATTTGAGCGTTCCTATTGGCCGCGAGGAGTCTACGCAGCCGGAGGCGCGATTGCGACTGGCAGGCGATAATAGCGTGTTTCTCACCTGCAGTAATATAATTGAAGAGGACACGGGCGTTTTGGATGTATAACATTTTGATCTAGTGAGTTTTCCAATTCTGCGGCTGCTTGCTTGATAATCGTTAGTTGACAAGGCTCGCTTAGGAGTTCAACGGTGACTGAAGACCTCAGTAAGCGGCAGCGCCGCTGAATAATTCGCTTCGATTTTGGAAATCGGGATTGGCGTCGAAAAGCGTCAAACTGAGTCTGCGCGCACCGTTTCACAACAGTTCAAATTTACATCGTATTCTCCGGACGGCGTACTGGTGAGGCATAATTATAGATGGAAGGAGGTCCGTAGATGTATGAACGATGGAGGTGTATTAA